TATCCCTCCTCCTCCTCCTCCTTCTCCTCCTCCTCCTCCTCCTCCTCCTCCTCCTCCTCCCCATCCCCTGTATCATCATCAGCATATTCCGTCGTTCGCACATGTTCGACCAGCTCTGCTTCCCCTCCTCCTGGTTTTTACACTTGTTCCAGCAACTTCTCTTCCTCTTCCTCCCCCCTCCCTCCTCCTCCTCATTCTCCTCCTCATCCTCCTCCTGATTCTCCTCCTAATCCTCATTGTCACCACCCCTCGTCATCATCCTCCTCGTGCTCCGTTGCCACCTCCTTCTCCGTGCACGCACGCGCCATATCCTCCAACATCTCCTCCACCTCCGCCTCCTCTTCTGATTGTTGCAGTCCACCGCCATGTCTCAGAAATTAGTGAGAGAACGCAGCACAAGGCAATACTGCCGTCCCCGGAAGCTCGCCTCAAGTGGTGATCACCGAACTGTAATTAGTTTCCACCACCACCCCTGACTTGTCGAGGACAGTCTATTGTTGAGCATGCGGGTTTGAATGACTTCAGTGAAAATCAAGGGTCACTTCCTCCAGTGAAAATGAATCCTGGTAGGGGCATCCGAAGAGGGAACTTGGAGGGTGCTGCTAGTGCAATGGCGTTACTGGGTGTTGGTTGGGTTTGCACTGGTCTTTCCTCCTCCCCCTCCTCCTCCCCCACCTCATATTCATCATCAGAGTCCTTGTCCTCGTGCTCCATCCTCAATCCTCCCTCCTCCTCCTCCTGATCCTCCTCCCCTTCCGCCGTCGCCTTCTCAACATCATCATCTTACTCCTCCTCCATCTCCTCCCCCGTCACCCGCTTCATCCTGTTCGCCATCAACATCAGCATCCTCATCCTTTCGCATCTGTTCCACCAACTCATTGTCCCCCTCCTTGTTTCACACGTCTTCCACCAACTCACATTACTCCTCATCCACCCTCCTCCTCCTCATCATCGTCCGCCTCCTCCTCTTCCTCCCCGTCCTCCTCCTTCTCCTACTCTTCCTCATCCGTCTCCTCCTCCTCCTCATCATCATCAGCATCATCAGTATCATCAACATCCATCATCCTTATCCTCCTCCTGCGCCGGTCCATCCTCCTGCTCCGTGTTCGCGTGCGGTATGTCCTCTTCTTCCTCCTCCTCCGCATTCGCCTCCTCCTCCTCCTCCTCATCGCCTTCCTCTGCATACCATTCTCCGTGTTACCCATGTTCCACCTCCTCCCCGTCCTCCACCTGGTATGCCCCCCATCCTCGTCCGTAACCTGCTCCGCCTCCGCACCGTCCTCCTCATCCACACCCTCATCATCATCATCAGCATCATCCTACTGACTGTCACAATCATCAGCATCGTCATCATCATCATCATCATCATCATCATCATCATCATCATCATCATCATCATCATCTTCATCCTCAGCAGCAGCAGCCTCATCGTCGCCATCAGCATCATCACCATCATCGGCAGCATCAGTAGCATCACCATCATCAGCAGCATCACCATCATCATCAGCAGCATCATCATCAGCACCATCACCGTGATCAGCATCATCAACGACACCATCATGATCATCGTCGCCAGCATCATCAACGTCATCATCATGATGATCAGCAGCATCATCATCATCATCATCATCATCATCATCATCATCATCATCATCATCATCATCTCCATCGTCATCCGCATCATCAGCATCATCAGCATCACCTCCATCGTCATCAGCAGCATCATCAGCATCGTCGTCCCTATCCTCATCCTCATGCCCAGCACCACCATCATCATCAGCAGCAGCAACATCATCAGCGTCAGCATCACCATTATCCTCCCCTCATGGTCTCTTCGCTCTCCTCCGTCTTCCCCTCCCCCGTCATCCTCCCCCTCATCCTCCGCATCCCAATCCCTCCCCCCTCCTCCTCCCCCTCCCCCCCGTCATCCTCCTCCTCATCCTACGCGTCCGCCGCTCCCGCCTCCGCCTTCGCATTCCCACCCTCCATATCAGCAGCAGCGCCACCATCATGAACATAACCACCACCACCGCCGCCACCACCACTACCATCCTCAGCAACAGCAGCAACCGCATCAGCATCAGCGTCCGCATCAGCATCAGCATCATCATCCTAACCAGCATCGCATCCTCATCCACGCCCTCACCACCATCATCATCATCATCAACAGCATCAGCATCATCATCAACAGCATGATAGGCACCGTCGTAAGCAGCAGCATTACCACCGGCATCTTCATCATCATCAGCATCATCATCGGCATCATCATCATCATAGGCAACAGCAGCAGCAGCACCACCACCATCATCCGTAGTATCAGTCCCATCCACATCATCATCCTCACACTCCGCGTCGTCCTCCTCATCATCATCACCCCCTTCCTCATCCGCATCATCCTCATCGGCATCACCACCATCATCATCCTGAACAGCAGCCACAGCATCCTCGTCACCGCCAGCATCATCCCATCATCCAATCATCAGCATCATCAGCATGATTGGCATCGCCATCATCATCATCATCATCATCATCATCATCATCATCATCATCATCATCATCATCATCACCATCGTCATAAGCATCATCAGCATCATCAGCATCATCATTATCATTGGCGACATCATCAGCATCGTCATCATCGTCATAACCATCAGTATCGTCATCATCAGCATCATCATCACCAGCGTCATCAGCAGCATCAGCATGACCCTCTTCATTATCATGATCATCAGTATCCTCCTCCTCCGCCACCGCCTCATCATCGGCATCGCAATAAACAACTACAGCATTATCATCATCACCATTGTTGCCGTCATCATCATCACCACCGCCACTCCCACCATCACCATCGTCATTCCTCACCCTGCCTCCTCCTTCTCATCATCATCGTCATCGGCATCATCAGCATCATCATCGCCATCATCAGCATTATAGCCATCACCATCGTCCTCATCATCAGCAGCATCGTCATTATCCTCACCCTCATCCTCAGTCTCACCATCATGACCCTCTTCCTGATTATCATCATCCTCATCGACATCATCACAATCATCACAATTATCACCATCATCATCATCATCATCATCATCATCATCATCATCATCATCATCATCATCACGATCATCACCATCATCACCATCGACATGTTCATCATCCCTCACCCCATCTGCCCTTCCTCCTTAGAAGAAACAGCAACACCAACCTCCTCCTCATCACCACCAAAGGCCACCGCCACCACCACCACCATCACCACTATCATCATCATCATCATCATCAGCATCATCATCATCATCAGCATCATCATCATCATCATCAACATCACGACCACCACAACCGCCGCAACCACCACCAAACCCACCGCCACCAGAATCATCATTATTGTCATCATCATCATCGTCATCATACTCCTCACTAGTATGAGTAACGTCAGCATCAGGAGCAGCATGAGTATCAGCATCAGCATCAGCATCATAATCATCATCGCCATCATCATCCCCGGCCTCAACCACATCCTCATCATTATCAGCAACATCATCATCAGCATCATCATCATCATGCTCATCACTACCCTTATCCAAATTCTACGTATCCTCAGCATCGTCAGCATCATCATCGTCACTACCATTTTCAGCATTCCTCCACCTCATCCATCTCCTTCTCCTTCTCCTCATCCTCGTCATCATCATCTTCAAAGTATCATCAGCATCATATCGTCATCATGATGATCAGCATCCTCATGATCATCCTCATATCGATTATCATCATGATCATCATCATCAGCTTATTCCTCGTTTGCAGCTTCATCGCCAGCATATGCATAATCATCATCATCATCATCATCAGCAGCAGCATCATCCCTCAGTCCTCCTCCTTCTCTTCCTGAATCTCCTTGTCATCGTCAGCATCATCAGCCGCATCATCAGCATCAGCATCATCATCGTCATCAGCATCAGCATCAGCATCATCATCATCATCATCATCATCATCATCATCATCCGCAGAATCATCATCCTGATCCTCATCCCCAGCTGTATCATCACTGACATCAACCTCCTCATCATCATGATCATGATCATCATCATCATCATCATCATCATCATCATCATCATCATCATCATTATCATCATCATCGTCATCGTGATCAGTATCATCATCATCATCATCATCATCATCATCATCACCATCATCATCAGTATTATCCCCATCCTCATTATTATCATCATTACACCCCTCCTCCTCCAACTCATCTTCTTCATCATCATTATCATCATCATCATCATCCTGTACATAATCACCATGATCATCATCATCAGAATCAGCATCAGCATCATCATCCTCACCATCACCATCCTGACGAGTATCGTTATCCCTCACCAATCCTCCCCCTCATCATCATCCTCATCATCATCGTCACCCACATCCTCATCAGCATCATCATCACCATCATCATCGTTTCCATCCTCATGCTGATTATCACCAGTATCCTCCTCATCACCCTTATCATTATCAGAATCGTTATCATCATCATGCGCATCATCATGCGCATCATCATCATCATCATCATCATCATCATCATCATCATCATCATTATCATCATCATCATCACCGTCATCTTCATCATATTCATCATCATCGTCACCATCATCATCATCGTAATCATCATCAGCAGCATCAGCATCCTCATCATCATCATCCCCACCACCATCAGCATCAGCATCATCATCAGCGTCATCATCATCACCAGCATCATCATCATCATCATCATCATCATCATCATCATCATCATCATCATCATCATCATCATCGCCTCTCACCCTCACCCTCACCCTCACCCACACACACCCTCCTCCTCCTCCTCCTACTCCTCCTCCTCCTCCTCCTCCTCCTCCTCCTCCTCCTCCTCCTCCTCCTCCTCCTCCTCCTCCTCCTCCTCCCCCTTCCCCTCCTCCTCCCCCTTCCCCTCCCTCCTTCTCCTCCTCTGCCTCCCTCCCGCCCCCCGCCTGCGACCGGCACTGCTCGACCCACCTCGCGAGGCACGCGGCGTGGCCGTAGTGGCACGCCCCGCCCCGGCCCGCGCAGCGCATGGCGGCGTCGTTGGGGCGCAGCCTCGCCCGGCGGCGGCGCGCGAGAGCGCGCGCCAGGGAGGGCGGCCGCGGGGGGGGGGGGCACGGGCCTCCACGCTGCTGCAGCGTACGCCGAGAGTCAAGCCTCGCCGCACCCCTGCGTCGAGGCAAAGGGCGCCCTCATCTTATGAAGGGGCCCCCGAAAGTTAGAAGTTGAACCGAACATTGGACTGAGCAATCCACGGGGCCCTCCTGAGGTGCCTCCTCCGGATCGCTTCGTCTCGGTTCCTCGAGATTCGCTCGCTCGCTTCCGCTGGGGGGGGAGGAGGGAGGGAAGGACAGGAAGCCCAGACCCCCTCGCGGTTGGAAAAGAACTCGCGACGGGAGGGCCTTCGCCAGGTTCGGCCTCGGGGGGCCCCTCGCCGGGCCTCGGGGCCGTCCAAGATCGACTCGGGATGAAGAGCCGGTCCCGGGGAAGGGGTCGGGACTTCCAGGGGCCCCGTATTGAAAGATTCAGGCCGTTACACGTCTGGGGATCCAGGGACAGGGAGGGGGGCGCGGAGGGGCGAGCGGCGGGAGGGAGAGGGCAGGGAGAGGAGGGGAGGGAGGAGGGAGGATGTGAGGGAGGGAGGAGAAGGGAGGAGGGGAGGGAGGAGGGAGGAGGGGAGGGAGGAGGGAGGAGGGGAGGGAGGGAGGAGGAGGGAGGAGGTGAGGGAGGAGGAGGGGAGGGAGGATGTGAGGGAAGGGGGATAGGAAGAGAGCGCACCGTGTCTGTCCAGGCCCGCCGGGTACGAGCGCCGGCTGGGCCATCCTCACACTGGCGGGAGGCGCCGCTTGACAGACAGGGGTGGGAAAAAAATCCCCCCCCGTGGCGCGATCGGAAAGGGACCCCGACTGGAGAAAACACTCGAAGGGCGTGGCGACGAGGGCGTGGCACGCCCCCTCTGCGCGCCCGTGCTGCAGGGGGGCGCTGGCTTTTAACACACTTTGGCATGCGGCGCAGCTCGGCGGGAGAGCCCAGAATCGAATCGATAAGTCGTATCGGCGATCGGAATCAGTCGGATCGGCGGAAATCGGCAGCCGAATCGGGAAAAGCCGAATCAGCGGAAATCGGCAGTATAGTAGACCTCCAATGAAAAATCGGAGCCCAAATCGAAATCCCAAGTCGAATCGTATCGGAATGGGAAGCCAACGAAATCGAATCGAGTCGAACCGGCGGAATCGAAGTGAGCCCTGGCTCGGTGCCCTGAGGAAGAAGGCCCCCCCTTTCGGGCATCCCCCTCGGCGGCCGAGTGCCAGGGCTGCGGAACAGGTTGCCAGGTGTTCTGGCAGCGCACGAAGGCTTGGAGAGGCGAGCGCTGGTGCACTAAGCGGTGAGCAGCAAGGCGCGCCCGGAAGTTGTCCTGGAGAGTGGCCCCAGCAGAAGCATGCGTGCAGAAAGCCTGCTGGAGGTCATTCAAGTTGGACTGCGATCTGTGGAAACTATCAAGGAAGGGACTTGACTAATCCTGTCCTGGATGCTACGCTGCTGTATGTGTAGGTGCGTGTGTGCGTGTGTGTGTGCGTGTATGCGTGCGTGCGTGCGTGAGAACGTGCGTGCGTGCGTGCGTGCGTGAGTGCGTACGTGCGTGCGTGCGTGGGTGACTGCGTGCGTGCGTGCGTGCGTGCGTGTGTGCGTGTGAATGTGTGCGAGTGTCTGTGTGCGTGTGTTTGTGGCTGCGTGCGTGTGTGTGTGTGTGTGAGTGTGTGTGTGTGCGAGTGTGTGTTTGTGTGTGCGTGCGGGGGGAGGAGTGCGTGTGTGTGTGTGTGCGCGTGTGTGCGTGTGCGCGTGTGTATGTGTGTGTTTGCGCGTGTATGTGTGTGTGTGTGTGCGTGTGTGTGTGTGAGCGTGTGTGCGTGTGTGTGTGTGTGTGTGTGTGCGTGCGTGCGGTGTGTGTGCGTGTGTGTGTGTGTGTGCTGTGTGTGTGTGTGCGTGTGTGTGTGTGTGCGTGCGCGCGTGTGGTGGTGTGTTTGTGTGTGTGCGTGCGTGCGTGCGTGCGTGTGTGCGCGTGTGTGCGCGTGTGTGTGTGTGTGTGTGTGCGTGTGTGTGCGTGTGTGCGTGTGTGTGTTTGCGTGTGGGAGTGCGTGGATGCGTGGGTGCGTGTGTGCGTGTGTGAGTGGGGGTGTTTGTGTGTGTGTGGGTGCGTGGGTGCGTGTGTGTGTGTGTTCGCGTGTGTTGGCGTGTGTGCGTGTGAGCGTGTGAGCGTGTGTGTGTGTGTGTCTGTGTGTGTGTCTGTGTGTGCGTGTGCGTGTGTGCATGTGTGTGCGTGAGTGCGTATGTGCTTGTTTCTGTGTGTGTGCGTGCGTGCGTGCACGCGTGTGTGTGTGTGTGTGTGCGTATGTACGTGTGTGTGTGTGCCTGTGTGCGTATGTATGTGCGTGTGTGCACGTGTGTGAATGTATGTGTGCGGGTGTGCGTGTTTGTGTGTGTGCGTCTGTGCGTGTGTGAGTGCGTGTGTGCGTGCGTGTGTGTGTGTGTGTGTGTGCGTGTGTGCGTGCGTGTTTGTGTGTGTATGCTGGTGTGTGTGTGTGTGCGCGTGTGTGCGTGTGTGCGTGTGTGCGTGCGTGTGTGTGTGTGTGCGTGTGCGTGTGCGTGTGCGTACGTGCGTGTGTGCGTGTGTGTGTGTGTGCGCGTGTGCGTGTGTGTGTGTGTGTGTGCGTGTGTGTGTGTGCGTGTGTGTGTGTGTGCGTGTGTGTGCGTGTGTGTGTGCGTGTGTGCGTTTGTCTGTGTGCATGTGTGTGTGTGTTTGTGTGTGCGTGCGTCCGCGTGTGTGCGTGTGTGCGCATGTGCGTGTGTGTAGGTGTGTGGGTGTGTGGGTGTGTGGGAGTGGGTGTGTGTGGGTGTGCATGTGTGTGGTATGTGTGCTTGTGAATGTGTGTGTGTGTGTGGGTGTGTGTATGTGTGTGGTGTGTGTGTGTTTGTGTGTGTGCTTGTGAACGTGTGTACGTGTGCACGAGTGTACGTGTCTGTGTGTGTGTGTCTGTGTCTGTGTCTGTGTGTGTCTGTGTGTGCGAGGCTGGAGGCGCGCTGCTGCAGCGTCAGCGCTGTGATGTGATTTTAGAGTAGTTTCGCGATCCCGGGCAGGCTGTTGCCTGGCCACGGTGAGGCCTTGCGTGAGGGCACGTCTCCGATCGACGGGCTGCGCTGGCATCGCTCGGGTTCCTTCACCCGTGTGGGTGGCATTGGAAACCCTCAGTTCCTATTCTCTGGTGGGGCGGGGCGTGGGCCTGGTGGCAGGTGCGCCAGCACTGGCCAGCCCTGTGGGTTGTGGCGACGGAGCCGGCACACCAGGGGGCGCAGTGTCCGCGACCCCCCACCCACCCTGCGCAGGTCCTCCCCCAGGCAGTTCACGTTGGGGGTGTTGCTGCCCCCACTGGAATGTTGTTGGTTCCCTCGGGGGGAACGGTGAGGTCCGCTCTGCCTCCCGAGTGGTCCAGCCCCAGCTTAGCACGCCTGCTTCGCGGTGCAGCGCCCGAGGTGGGTCCCGAGGGCCTTCGCCTCCTGAGGCGCCGTCGCCTGGTGCCCTCTGGGGCAAGCAACTGAGCTTTCATCGTCCGCATCGTGACCATCGCTGTCGTGACCAGCGATTGGGATGCGGATGCCTGCCAGATCTGGCGTGTAGCCCTGACTGACTGTGACGGTGCGTTGGGATAGCAGCGTGGTCGTCGTCACTGTCGAGGGCCCAGCCCAGACCGAGTGGGCCTTCTTCTTCCCCTTCAGCATTGTCGGGAGGGATACCCCAGGGATCATCAATGACGTCGTAGTACCCAGGAGGACGAAAGGGGAGGAGGAAAGGGGGGAGAGGAGGAAACGAGGTGGAGAGGAGGAGAGGATGAAGAGGGGAGGGTGAAGAGCGGGAGAGGAGGAGAAAAGGACAGGGAGGATGGCGCATGTGGGCGAGCGGCGGAAGGGAAGGGAGGGAAGGAGAGGCGAGAAGAGGGGAAAGATGGATCGCACGCCACTGACTGGAAAACCGAGATGGAGCTCCGACGAGTCCCAAACCCCCAGGGGGAGCCCGACCAAGAGGACCTGTGGGAGGAGGGAGGAGGGGGAAGGAAGAAATGACGAGGGGTGGAGGGGAGGGAGGAGGGGAAACAGTGAGAGAGAAGGGGGATGGAGGAAGGGAGGCAGGCGGGAACGAAAGATCCGGACTTGGCCTGAATCCGAAGAGTCAGGTCTACATTCGAAGAGCAAGACCCGAAAATAAAAAGCATGAAGGCAAGGGTGGGTGAAACGCAATTACAATCGTCATCATGATAGGCACCATTGCCGTAGAATGTTCGCGGGGGGGCTATGGCAACACCCGCTCAGGGTGTTCGACCAAAGCTAAGTTGAGCTTGTCCGCCGTGGGACCCCCGATGCGACTTGCTCATAACCCCAACTTGCCAGCATACCAACTGATGATGGGAGGACTCCACCATGCCAGAACGTAACGAAAAAAACACGGTGTGCGAGGCCAAAGGCAGATCATGACCGAAAGTGGGAAACACACCTGGCGCGGCATGGAGGAGAGCAGAAGGAGGGAATGGAAGGACAGCAGGAGGACGCACGAAGGAAAAGAAGGAAGAAAGGAGGAAGAAAGGAGGAGGAGGAGGAGGAGGAGGAGGTGGAAGAGGAGGAGGTGGAGGAGGAGGAGGAAGAGGAGGTGGAGGAGGACGGAGGAGGACATCCCCCTCCCCCTCCCGTGGCCGCCTCTCGCAGCAGATGGCGCAGTCCCCGAACTCCTCCTCGACGCCCGCGCCGCAGGCGGCCTCCAGGGAGGACGAGGGGGGGGGGGGGGAGGCTGAGGGAGGAGGAAGTGGGGAGGAGGAAGGAGGAGGGAGGGAGGCGGATGAGGAGAAAGGAGGAGAGGCGGAAAGAGCGAGGGAGGGAGGGAAGGAGGAGGGATCGAGGTGGG